AATATGTCAAAAAGTGCAAGCTTGTCGACATTCTCCCTTTGTCTCAAAAGTTTGACTTGAATGATCTTATTTTTTTCCACAAAGTTCTTAACAATTTAATTCCTGTATCGCTGCCTCACTATCTCTCTTTATATCAGGGCACTTCTCGACTAAGACGTTGCCACCTCGACAGTCTGTCTATTGTGTCATCAATTTTACCTAAGTTAAGTCAGAATTCACACACCACATGTACCTCAAATAGCCCACTGGCAAAATCATTTTTCTACAGAACCCATATACTGTGGAATGGACTCCCTTTACAGGTAAGACAGATTGTGTCTACTAGCCTTTTCAAAGCTGAGGTCACTAAGCATCTATGGAAATGTTTATTGGATAGTGAAACAACAGTCTAGCCTAGTCTCTTTGCTCCCCATATTATTATTATTTTTGTTTTATTAATTTTTTTATCTACCTTCCTATACTTTCAACATCATATCACACTTCACCCGCACACCTTCTCACACATTAATGACCATTTCAGACCTGTATCTAATGTATCTGGAATTTGACGTATTGAAATACCAATTTTGACTCTATATCCACAGTTATTCACCATGGATTTGTTTCTTATTAAATAGTTTTTCATAAATTTTTGGATTTAGATTAATTCGATGTAATGGGTCCAAGTTACTGCGGACATAGTCAACTATGTGTTTACCGTGTTTGGGTGCCCATCATATTTTACAGATGGGGGCGATATTTTGAACGATTCTATTTTATATTCATCTATTGCTGTACTCTGTAAAATTTGAAAAGTATTTAATAAAAAAAAAAAATCCATTGACAATAATCTACAAATATCTACATTTATCTACAAAAAATGTAATCTCAAATATGTGCCCAGAAATTCTACTGAATTTTTGGAGATAAATGTATAAATTTGTAGAATGTCATCCACTTTTTTCGTGGATTATCCATTCTACATTAATCTACAAATATCTACCCTCCAATCACATTTTGACAATAAGCTTTCATTCCTCAAAATGCAGTGTCCTACTAAATGGAAAGCCTGGCCTAGAAAAACTAAGGATATACTCAAAAATCTGTGTGATAAGAAATCTGCAAACTTCAAAAGGAGAGACAACAAGAGACGAAGGAAAGTTGAAAAACTGGCTAAAAAAGCATTAGATGGTGGTTCTGTTATAATTCTCATCGATTCACATGAAATACCTTTAGGAGCAGTTTCAGTACTCAGTAAAGGTCTTGGTTTTGTCCCTACTCCTACAGTAGATGTTCTCCAAACAAGACTTGACATGAGACGCACCACCAACAGTATTATAAACTCTTCTAGAAGGTCAAGTGTATCAAGTAACAGCTCTACTGATATTCCAATTGATATTAGTGATGACCAACAATCAACCAGTTCTGAATTCAGACTCCCTTCAAAACTCCGAAAGAAGAACTACAACCTCCCAACACCTAGTGAAGATCGGGCAGTCAATGATATAGTCCAAAGCATGGAATCTGAGTTGGACCAAATCCTCCACACATCAGGACCACGCAAACAAAAACCCAAGAAAGAAAATCTCATACCAATCGAACAAGAAGGATTAAAATGGCTCGAAAAGAAGGTATCAGATGGAATAATAGCAATAACACCAGCCGACAAAGGAGGAAGCATCCTCATTGTTGATCCCAAGTTACTGAGAAATAAGACCCTTGAGAAACTAGAAAATCCTCAACTATACCAGAAACTTGATTCCGACCCACTCCATACCCTCCACGGTGAACTTTTTGACACTTGGGTCGAAGGTAAGACAAGAGGCTTCATTACACCTGAAGAAGCAAAGTCTGTGATGGGTATTTCAGACAACACAAATAAGGCAGGCACAGGCCCGACCAACAGGCCAAGTACAGCTCCTCACCATAAACCGGGAAAGAGCTACTTTTACCCCTCCTTGAAAGTGCACAAACTGAGGAAAGACCAACTTATCCCAGGAGTTGAACCACCAGTGAGACTTATTACAGCACTTCAAGAAGGTATCAGTAAAAAGAGTGATGTGTTTGTAGCCACGAAATACTTAAGACCCCTGGAAAAAGACTTCTGCCAAGACCTCCTTACAGACACAACAGATGCATTAATTTGGCTCGACGAAATCAACTCTAATAAGCCCCAAGTTGAAAAGAAAACATATAAACCGTTTACTTTTGACTTCAAGGGCCTTTACGACTCACTCAGCCCCTCCCTTGTCATTGAAGCTCTTAAATTTGCCATGGACCAATTAAGACCCGACTGGTCTATGAACTTCAAAGCTTGGCTAATTGACTTGGTGAACCACAGCCTAAAATCATCTATAGGTTTTTTCGAGAATGCTTGGTACAAACAAATACACGGTGTACCTACTGGAGGTTCTCTATGTGTTCAACTGGCAAACATCGCTGTGTTTTATGTCCTTAACAAGGAAGTCTACTCAAACCCCACACTAATGGACCAAGTAGCATCTGTTAAGAGATACATTGACGACGGAGCAGGTCAGTTTACAGGTACTACCAGACAGTTTTCAGCATGGATAAAGAAGGTCAACGAAAACATCGCTCCCGATGGCCTTGAAATAGATGAATTCCAAGCAGAAAATACAGCTGAATATGTCAGTTTTCTAGATGTACAGTTTACTTTCGACCATCAAGGAGAGCTTCAAACTGATCTATACGTAAAAGAAACAGACTCCAGGTCCTACCTACATTTCAGCAGTAGTCACCCCAATCACATATTCTCAGGAATTGTATACTCCCAGTGTTTACGCCTCAGGAGGATAATCAATTCAAAGGAGAGATTAGAGACCCAGCTTAACATTCTCAAACGGGCGTTTCATGAATCAGGATACCCTAGTAAAATGGCTGACAACATAGCTAACAAAGTCCTTGGCATGGAAAGAGTGTTAGTCAGGAAGAGTACGGTCGAGCCTAATGAACAATCCCCGCTATCAGCCATACCAATCAGAGTCATCTCCAGTTATGGAAGTGACAATGACTTGGTGAATGTTGTCCAGAAATACGAAGGTCACTTGAGACGAACTCGTAGTTTTAGTGAAAGTGAGAGTCAGCAAGCCACAAACTCCACCACAGCACCGAAAGGAAAAAATAAACTGTTTCAGTTTGTGAAGAAAACGGGATCTACGCTTAGATCTCGCCTCGTTACATCTAAACAGCTTGCCTTAGGTGCTAAACATGGTAAAACTGAACCCTGTCACAGAAGAAACTGCAAGTGTTGTAAAATGATCATGAATAAGGACTCCATCACATCAAATGGCAAAAAGATCAAATCAGCCCCTGGTTGTTGCAAGACCTATAACATCATCTATCTTGTACAGTGTTCGATTTGCAAGAAAAACTATGTGGGTAGGACTATTAATAGCTTGCATAAAAGGATGGACGGACACAGGTCCAAATTTTATGAAATCGTTGATGGTAGAGCATTTGATATTACTAGTGATGAGTATAGCCTAGGAGTTCACTTGATTGACCACGGTTTAGGAGTACATACAGATTTTAATGAAACTTTTAGAACTTTTATTTTAGAGAATTGCAGTCCCAGTACACTTGAAGTAAAAGAAAATAACTACATACATTTGCTTAATTCTCTTAGACCTTTTGGCCTTAATACTGTCAATCCCTTTGGATTACCTATATTCCATAAACCTTAATATGATCTTTTTACCTTTTTCGGATTCTTAATTTTGTAACGGTTTGAGTTTCACTAACCTTTTAACATTTTTTAGGTTCAATGTCACTGGAGATGACTACAATCGAAATATATTTGGCAAGAATCTGAATGTTTTCAGTGTTGAAAGTTTAGTTTCTTAAATCCTGGAGTAGTCATTCGTGTCCCTGATATTTGGGTTAATTCTAACTCTCCTACAAATATCTACAAATATCCACTTGGCTCCCCCCCAATATACACGATTTTCAAATTCAATATGTAATTATATTAACTGGGCGGCGCTCGGCCTTTCACTCCGCCATATATGCATGCTTATAAACAGTTAAGACTGGGGTCCCCAGGTTGTATGAAATATGATAAAATATACGCCATCACGGATCGGGAAATTGAGCGGCCATCCACAAAAGAAAAGCGGCCGCATTTCTTGTTTATTTCAATTTGTTCAAACTCAGATTCTTGGCGAGCTTCAACTGAAAGATTGACTCCTCAAATGTTTTACAGAAAGAACGAAACATTGTTTTTTACTCAGTAGCTTGTAAGCAGCAAGTAATAAAGTATTAATCCACTAGCTCAAAGTTACTCTTAAGGTCCATAGTTGAATAATAAGTCCACTAATAATGATCATATTAAAAATTAAAACATGGAGCTACTGAAGCCGCACGTTCGATACCTCAACATAAAAACAATCAAATCTAACTCTATATTACAAGCCAGATGTAAGACTTCAGCATAATTATAACAATTAGTTAAACTAGCAGGAACCCGTCTAACCCTAAAGTGATGTCAAGACTCGAGAGACTAAAATAATTATTATCTATTTAATTCGCGTTTTTGACACCACTTGGGAGTCCAAATTTTGGGCACTAAAATTATTACTCCTTGGCCAATTTTTTATTTTTTCATGCTGATTTGAAGGCCATTAAAGCATTTGACCCAGTCAAAAAAGTTTCAGTTGTATATCTTTTACGGTTTTTGCGGAAAGGTGCGTATATATATCGTCTCGCTTTATATATAGTAAGATGTAGGTCTTTGACTCTTTATAGAGCTGTTACTCTGTCTAATAGCTATCTGTTAACCCCCCCTAATAGGTATTGTTACCCTCCTCATTTCCCCTCCGTAGCCGATGAACAACAACGTGTGTTAAATGGCATAAAATGTCAATTTACTCAAAGGTTTTCCATTTTCCCCTCAAAAATGTGTGCCATTTTAGGTAATTTTAGATAATTTTAGGTGACTTTATATTCATTAGGTCTAATAGGTGTAGAATGTAGATGTTATCCCCACTCTCCTCTCTTCTCAGCCAATGAACAACAACGTGTGCGTGGCGGGAGACGAAGAAGGAGTACTGAGGGGTTACAATCTCAGCACTGGGAAAGCTCTGTCGGGTCAGTGGAAATATTTCCTTGTGTTTCATGTTTGTCATCTGTCTCATTGTTGATGTCTTTTTGTCCGTCAGTTTGCAAAATCAAAGCTTGTTTGGTATGTGCCTGTCAGTTCTTGTGTATCATGTGAAGGTTTTTGTCAATACTAAGACGCAATGAAACTACCGGACCACGATGTATGGGGACTTGCCACCCCATGGCAACATTAAAAATGTATCGACTCTGTTACATCGTTTCCTTTTAATATTAAACTCCGTTACAAATTGAACTGGGATGTAATGTAATCTGTAATCATATCTGTATGTCGTATGGTTGGAATTTTACGAGGATTTACAGGAGCTGATTTTATAGTTTGGGCGGAAAATGCAAAATTCGGAATTTGCCGGAGACAAAAATCATTGCAGAATTTTGCAAACTGTTACAAAATTTGTCATAATCTGAACTGGTCACTGGGGTCTATCATTGAGGAACGTGTCGAGATGGAAATTATTAATCTGGAATGCTGCAAATATCTTTGCAATTTGTCACAATATGAATGGTGGTGAATCTTCTACTGGGCTAAATTATTCTATTATATTATTCTATTACAATAGAACGGGTAGGTAGATCTACAATATCACATACTCACTGTGAATCTCTGCAGTTTAATTAATTTAATTTCAATCAATTTATTTAAATAATCAAACCATGTGTTACAGCAACAATAAGAATATTAGACAATTGTCAAATAAAATAATACAAGTAACAATTTAATAATTATAAATATTTTATAATTCATTATAATTCCATAATTTCGGAATCCTCTTGTTCTACTGTGTCCAACTAGCTCTCCCAGCACAGCTCGCACGTTATTCACCGTAGAAACACAAACTATGCACTTTGAAGAGTCTCTCTTACACGGGCAGATCAAAGGGAAGGCGTCGTTTTAACAAAACATGGGTTTAACAAACAGATATTGTTCACACAGAAGGGGGGGGGGGGGGGGGGGGTAGCAACATAGTGCGCGGGTTACCATAGCAACTGTCAACACTAGTCAGACTCGAGTACATCAGGCTCTAAATCTTGTTAGTCTGATACAAGCTGGTGTTGTGGCATCTAGCTAAGTGCGCTGAGTTTAGCGCGGGAAGTTACAACACAATATGTTAGTGCCGAATGTCAGTTACTGGGAAGGTCAGGTTAAGGGTGTACATACTAAACGAACAACTTTCTTAATCACTAGAAAGTCGCGCATAGTTCAGGCACGACCTAATTGACTGCACTAACTGTTTTGGAGTTTCTGACACAAGCTGATAGATGAAACACTCGGCTTCTTAAATCTGTTCAACGAAACTGAAAGCGAAACTGTAACTGAAATTGAAAGTGAAAGTGTTGATCACACAGCAGTAACATGCTCTCCACAGTCTCCATTCTCTACCAACTTCTCCCCCGCCTGACACTCCACTGTCCTCACTAACCGCTCCTTACATTCCTTCTCCCGAATATACTCCTTCTCCCGAATATACTCTTTCTCCTGAATATTGTTCAACTGACCTCCACTTCCTATACTTTTAGGAGGACTCCTACTCAGGGACCTACATAGGGACGCCTTTCTGCTCCCAGGTAAAAGTTTAAAAGTTGACATACGGTAGGAACCTCTGGAGACCAAGTCCGTGATCTGAGTCCGGCTGTGGCGGCTCCCACTGGAGAGTGTCTGTTTTACGTTCTGACAACATGGGTTTGCTAGTCTGAGGAAATAAACAGCCGGATCCACAACCGGTGAGAGCAGAGAGATACCGTTAGCAATAAAGTGGTTCATCTCAATCTCCACCCCAGCTGTAACACAAGTCATGTAAACCACCCCTGAGATGTGAAGGAGAAAGAAGGACATGGTCAGCACCACCGTGGTGATCGCTGCTGAGTTTCTAGCGTTCCTTTTAGCACAATTCCGAGCCGTCCTGCTCTTGAGGAGCCGATGGACGCTCACAGCGTTAGCCAACAACATGACAACCATAGCCAGGGTAACCTGGAGGAAGACCGTGAAGATCCTCCAAGCTCGGTACACTGTCTGGTTGGTGAAGGCGTGTTTCAGGGACATCCGACAAGGTTCCAGGTCGTCTCTGTTTAGTCGCATGATAACCGGTACTAGAGACTGTCCGGAGAGCAGGAGGACAGACAGGATGATGATCCGGAGGGTGATGGTCCGGTATCGGGAGAGGGTGTTGCTGTAAGGGAAGGTGATGACCAGGGCTCTGAGGACTGCTAGAACGCAGAGCAGGAGGTAGAGAAGTCGCATTCCTGTGTCTAGTGCAAACTCTATCACTTCACACGCCGCCTGGGAAGGGAGCAGTGTTATAGTGGCTTTAACCACGTGATATGACGTCACACCACGTGATATGACGTCACACCAGGTGACATGACGTCACACCAGGTGACATGACGTCACACCACGTGACATGACGTCACAACACGTGATATGACGTCACAACACGTCACACCACGTGACAATTGTCTGTATAAATGATTTTATAATTCCTATAACTAGCAAGTAATATGTTGATAATAGTTTTGTAAAATCAACATTTTTGTTTTTGTCACAATGGGTAGTTTAAAGAAAGAAGCACCGAAAGAAGCCACAAATCTAACTAAAAATATCCAAACACTACATACCGCATTGGTAACATGAAGTTTAAAGTCACTGAGATAGTTGACGGCGAACTTGGACACTGCCAGAGCCACCACCAAGTCGGTAGTGGCTACAGCCTTGTAGAGCAGCAGTGTAGACTCGTGTATAGAGTGGTCTCCTAAGTGGAGGTAGACCACTGCAATGATGTTAGCGGGGACTCCCACGAATGACGTCACGCACGTGCAGATGTAGAAAAAACGAACCGAGAACTCCATGGTAGGAGCTATATTTGGTAGTGGGGGTTAATAAATAGTTTGTTTAACTTAAAAATAAATAGCTTGTTTGTCAAAACTAGTGTTAGTAGGTATGTAATAAATAGTTTGTTTAACTTGAAAATAAATAGTTTGTTTGTCAAAACTAGTGTTAGTAGGTATGTAATAAATTTGTAATTTGTTTAACTTGAAAATAAAATCTGCTTTGCATTTTTCTACGCTAAACATGGGCTAGGGTGTTACAAAGTGTTATCACTAATGTTTATCATTCATTTGATACGAACTAGGAAAATAAAAAAGGGTGGTAACACATGTGAGGCCTATGACCACTGAGCTATGACAAAAAACACAAAGATCGTGTGAGTAGGCCGAGACTCTGGTATTAAAATAAAACAAAAGTTAAAGTTGTTAAAATAGTTAGAGTAGTTTATAAGTTATGGAATTTAAAGTAAGTAAGGATTCTATTTAAATATAAACTGCAGTAACTTCAAACACTAAATATGCTTAGATGCTTTTCCAGATAAAAATGGTCCATATTATGGAAATCTATTTTACCCAATGCAATTTCTATTCGAGAATGTCTGTGAGAAATGAAGAAATGATAAAAAATTATCTTTTTTTTTTTTTTTTTTCTAGACACTTATTTTACTTCGGTGTATTCCAACAGCCACAATGTTACACAAGTGCAACCAGCCAATTACAGGAAGCCGAAGGATCTTTTTGGCCAGTGACGGTTAAGGTAGTGTGTACCATACTTTCTTCGTCCGAGACTTTGCTGCAATGTGCAGCTCCTCATTTAACCCTCACACCCGATTTCTCGAGTATTCGGCTGAGTAGACCGGGGGGCTGCATAGACCACTCATGATCCTTAGCTGAACGTCGACGACGCTCACCCCACGACCAGGCAGTCAGTGGGTTTCGAACTCGCAACCTAACGATTGTAAGACAGGCGTTCTAACCAACTGCGCTACCTGGCCGTTAAAAGTTGTTAAATTGGATAAGCAATGAAACGGCATCAAGTAGGTGATATCTTCGTGAATAAAATTACATCTCTAGCCTACAAAAAAGGAACATGGTTAGAAACACCAGTAATTCTTACAAATTATAGAAAATTTAACATTATTATAAAAATCACAAGCTGAGCAACCTAAGACAAAATTAAAAAAATAAAAGATTAAAATTATATTTAGGTACATGACAATTGCTATTGTTTGAAAGATAGAAACCTTCTTATCATGCTTATTATGATGCTTATTAGGATGTGTAAACTGTATTGTGTATCGAAGTAAAAATAACAGTATAATAAAACAGATAGATTTATCTGGTTCTACAATACAAATATTATTTGCTTGGGCAGTTACTGACATAAAATTATGATCTTTATCAAAGTAATTACAGTACAATAAGTTCTTAAGTTACCGATATTATTATTTGCTTGGTTGGTTACAGACATAAAATAAAAGAATGTAAATTTAATTTGTACAAGTTATTTTTTCGCGGTTCCTCAAAAACATTTTTCGCAGTTGTTTACTAGACGCATTGTTAGAGAGTAAGAAAAAAGTAATAAAATTGTGAGGCACAAAAAAACTATCTATGAAGTTCAAAACTAGGGATATCCGACTAAACATAACAGCATAAGAAGACAATGTCAAGTCTGTGGTTCAGAGTTTCTGGTTGGATAGTTACATTTATTTTAGACATAACGTCCGACTAATTGTGTGGAGAAACGGAGAACAACATTACTAAAGGAATCTGTTATCCTGGCTCAGGAACAAATTTGCAACATTTCTCTTTCTAACTTTAGATCATTAAATTAAAAAATTGTAGATTCTAGATGGGTTAGACCTGAAACGTGTCAAAAGATAAACAGAATGATTGTATTTCTGGTCGGGCTGCCCAAAACATTTACTGTTATATCGTAATTTTTTGTCGTAACATACTGACACTATCACCCATGACGATTCATTTCAACAGCTTTCTTTACTTGCAATAAATTAATATCTGGAATTTATTCAAACGGTTTACGGGGATATACACTAACACCTACACAGTAATACAGTTACAGACTTAAAACCAGATGAAAAAAGCTTTAAAAACAAAAAACGAAATTGTTTGAAAGTGCGTACTATATTTTCTGAATACAAAGTCATATCCCCGGCCAAATCATGAACGATTTGATGCATTTCCCCTTTTAAAGGCCACTGCAGAGTTTGCAACCGACTACCAAAAGCTATTGTTGGAATACTAATAGCTTTAGTCTATCACAACATAAATCGTATCTACCAAAAATATTCACAAATGCCTTGTTTTAAAATGTCAATTAGTTGCCTGAGGCTCAACAATAATTAATGTTAATAAATGTTTTAAAGAAGTTTATGTCAATTGTTTGTATGGCCCTGAGAAACAAGGATCTACTCTAACTTGGCATTTGACGCAATTGACAGTTAACAATAATTGGCAATATCTTACAATGTTATTGACAGAAAATTAAACCATGCAGTATCATGGAACATTGTAGAAATGAAAACCACGTCTATCATTTAATTAAAGCATACAATCTTGAATCTACATTGTACTGCGAAGAAGGGATAAAAGTGTTCGAAAGAGAACAGCTACAGTTTATATTTAAATAGAATCCTTAGGGACAACACCACGATAGAATTGAAATTCGTCAACTCTACGATAATTGCTATGGCGGCCTATAATAGTATAATTAAATTTAAACCTTGAAAACCGTCTATTTAACCATTGAGAACATGCTGTATTCTCGTATTAGCGGCAGGCATCAATCTCCTCAGAGAGCTCAGAGAAACAGAACCAACAATAAAACATGCTCTCAACAATAAAACAAACGTTCACCACAATAGAGTTACAGTTGCCGAAGTCTCTTAACCTTGTTGATCAGACGTTAAACACGTACCCAATACAAGGGCGGGTTATCCGGCAGCCTTAGTAGTGTTAGTTTAACGGATATTCACTAGAAAGTAGGGTAAAACTTCCCCTGATTCACTAGAAAGTACGGTAAACTAGTGGTGGGAAATAGTGGGAATAGTGGGAATGTTCACGTGAACCTCGGGTCAACTTCCTCTGAAGTAATATTCTACAAGTGTGCACGTTTGTGGGACTTCCCAGAATTTCTTATTCACTTCTGGGATTGCTACAATTACGGGATTAGACAGCTTATAATGTGACTAAACCCAGGGCTAATTCCAGACGAATGCTGGACTAATAACGTGTAATTAATTACAAACCAACAAGTAAATTATAAATATAACGGACTCTTCGTATCTTTTATGTATGTATTTCTCCTTGTTACAGACATTATGTATAGACTATAATAGTACTAAGATCAAACCCTCTTGGAATACGTAGAACTATTATAGTTATTCCCGAAAGCATAACGACTATCATTAGTCATAAACTAAAGGAATTCCACACTTAACGTTGAGCAGGTGCAAAAAACCCGACGCAAGTTCCTTGAAAAAAAAAACAGTTACGTTTTAAAACAAGTGCCCTCAAAATAGCAGTAAACGTCATAGAAAAGGCACGCTGGGAAAAGAGATCTGTTATCAGGCCGGCAGACCCTTTGATATGTCCAGACCCTCTCTAACAGCTATAGAGACACATGTGAAGTCTCAGACATGAAGCACAGAACGGAGACAACCCCGCAACCCTGTGCCACCCTCGGCACGGATTATTCCTTCTCTGGTGCTCCTCTTTAGGTGCTTCTGAGCTAAGTCAACAACGGCGATATTTCACAAACACGATGAAATTGAATACGTAATGGTCACGTCTTGTTCGTTTTCCTTTGGGCCTTAAGATGCTTCAGTGTTGAGTCAACAAAGGTAGCGTTAGTCAAAGAGAAAATGCCATAATCAAAGAGAATAAGGTGATAAGGTAATGACATGTCGAGTTAAAAGAGTATATAACGTAATCGTCGTATGTTCTTTATAGGATGCTTCAAGTTGATATTTCAGCGACTTTCAATATTATCGGTATTTGATAAAAGCAAAAGAGGTTGAATGTTGGCAAATGAATGACTCGTCAAGCTTAAACGTAATCCCATAACAGATTGAAATTGAGTCACTTTGTCTTTAGTCACGATTAGATATAATTAAATAATTCGAATCAGATGTGCTACATACAATGTGTTGGAATCTGATGGTGTAAAGACTTTACAAGACATTAGAGTCCACCACATTGTGTATAAGTATATGAGCTAAAATTCCTGCAAATAATCCAACCTGAGAGTGCATAATGGCTGCAAATTAAGCGAATTGTTCAGCTTAATTGAGTAATTGCTGTGTTTTTTTGTCGTCAAATTTGCTGCACTCAAAAAAGGTTTGGGCAGGTGCACCTAAATGTTGCCTCTGCCAGTAACCTAACCATTAACTAAAAATGAAATATTCTAAGAAATTCGATTTAGGAAAACTTAAGAAACTTTAAAATTTACATCTTGTTGCCGTTGGGTAGCTATTTATGTAGTCTCGGTCCGTTATGTCGAGAGCCGACAGGCCACTAGCTACTCTGACCGGACGTAATAACTGTACCGTATTTATAGTACTAAGACACGAGTATAACCAATAGGATTCCATGATACTCACACATCAATAAGATTAAGTCTTTGAAGTTAAAAGTTTTACGTACTTAAAGGTTACTTACTAAAGGAAAGCCTTAAGTACCGTGAAATATTTGACCAAGACCTACAGGATGAGCTAAATATCCCATCTTTATGAGAGCGAGCTGTGAGGCTTTAGTGTCTGCTTAGCCGAGGTCGGTTACCTAACACCTCGGTCCTCGACTGTAAGAATAGTTTTCTAAGCATTGTCAATCTGTTATTAATTATATAAAACAACTTCGCGCTTTACCATTAGTGACGTGTAGAGTTGTCGTATTATTATTGTCGGGAATTTCCCGATAAAGAGTACGGAACGTTTCGACTGCTTAATTTTAATTGACCATAGAAATCTTTGAATTGCATCGCGTGGTAAGATCTACCGTGAAATA